ATACGGCTGGAGTCTTCAGCTTGCTCAAGGGCATCACACAGTTTGTTCCATAAATCCGAGCTTTCCATTCTTCAAGCGACTTGGCAGGTCTCATCCGATAGCCTCGAACTGTACATCGACTTTTTGAGCGAGCGAGTCGATTCGAAATTCACCCAATCAAACCAAGAGCCGAGTTATTATCGAACAGGGGACGATCGATCTGACGCTTCCGATCAAAATCATCCAGACCATCGAGCTCAGATCAACCCTTCAGGCGACGCTCGTCATCAGCAACAACCTGAAAACATCCTCACAAACGCCAGCTCTGCCGTCGGTCGTCAACATGAACGATCTCTCAATGTCCATTCAAGTGCCAACTCTATCGGCGATCATCAGCCTGAACAATCTACAACTATCCTTCCAAACGAAGCACCGGGTGAAGTAATCCGTATCGAGCCACATCTCGTCAAGCTTTGCCAATCTGTCATGCCGTTCATCAAACTAGGCAGACTCCTCTTGAATAGGCTCTTGCTCGCTCCATCAAGCAGAGCGCCGTTCACGATCGATGATCGAATGAGTTCGGCTCAATTCGAATCCTTCCGCGACCAAACCGACGAATTCTTCGCCGACTTATGGAATCTACTCAGAAACTTGTTGGACTTGTGTAATCGGGATGGCCGGGCTACTATCGACGAGATTAGCGATGAATTGGATAAATCTTTGATCAGTTTTGATCAATGTATGCAAGTCCTACGGCCTCGTCTTGTACCTTATTCTCCTTCCAATCAGTTGCTGCCACTCACTACTCCTCAGCCAGAACGTGAAAAGATTCTTAATGATTGGTTCTCCTTATTGATCAATCAGGTTCATTTGGCTGCTCAAAACTTTAGAGTCGAGATAGAAATATTTCGAAAGAATTATGCGGACTACATTTATTGAATACCAAACTATTACATCTATGTAACGCTTGTTTTATTTATCTATGATTTATGATTTAGAACATGATGATATCAATTAATTGCAAAAACTAGTTATACAATCTGCAAATCTAGACCTCCATCACTTTGCAACAAAGGAACAGAAACACCTCCGTGATATTACAGTGTGGTGAAGCAGATATAGTTAAACAGACAAGGGATATTATCAGAGCAGGTCAGAGACAGGTTTCTGCTGGCACCAAGTGGCCCACTAATCCGATCTTCATGATGTGATCATGTAATGTTTTAGCCAGTCCACATATTTTATATGCTAGGAGAGAGCATAAGTTTAAATATGATATGCCACTTATTGTAAAGGATTAGGATGGGCTGGGTCAAGATAACACTTCCCAGCCAAACCCATTCATACCACTTTTGTGTGTATATATGATTTTTTTTTTTAAATTCATTACTGACATGGTTTGGGGGTTTCCTGGGTCCTATTGATACATTCTTTTAGGACCCAGGAAACCCTCTGTAGATGTCAGTAACGTAAAATCCCAGATTTTCAGAAAATCCATACATTTTTGAGACTCATTCATGCACGTTAATTTGTGTGTAGGCTCAGAGGTCAGCCAAAAGTTTCATACAATTTTTGTGCCTAACATTTTTTTTTTTTTTTTTTGCCTGGTGGCTACAATTTTGTATATAATTTTTTGTCTGTACCATTTTTTCCCGCCAGGAAGCACATAGCCAAACTTTCTCTTTAATACAGCTAGTCATTCCTGCTAGCTACTTGGGCTTTGAAAAATGAAAAAAGTAAGAAATATTTGCCATTGCATAAGTATGTAGTGGGAGGAACTTATCATTTTTAACTATCATTAGCTTTTTCTTTTTGAGAGATTTGATTCTCAGTAATTCTTTTTGCCAAAAACTGACAGGGGGTTAAAAAAATCTGATGGGGGTGTTAAAATCTTGAAGGGGGGTGACATGATGGGTCACTAGCAAGGGGGGGGGGGGCTTCAAAACAGAAAATAATAATAATAATGATAACAAATCATACATTTTTGGTTACTAACCTTCATTGCTCCCCAAAAATTCCATATATTTCAGGTGAGTAACATTTTGCCCAAAAATGCCCATTCATACATTTTTGGTGAGTATCATTTTAGGTTTTTGGCCAAGAGATTCATACATTTTGGTTACTGACATTCATAGGGGGTTTCCTGGGTCCTGTTTCTTTCCTTGGTGATCATGCATCTCCAAGGTTGGTTTCAAAACCCAATATGACATATCTCATATATGCACAACCAAGGACAATAAAAAAGCAAGAATTATGTAGATAAATAGGTAAGATGAATTAAGGGCCTGTACCGTAGGGTTCAATTTTCAAAAATGGACATTTTTTACATCCTCTACACAAAAACTGGGAACAATTGGAGAGATCTGGTGTTGAAATTCTTCACTTTCGTGCCAAAGACTAGCTTGTAGTTATGGTCAATTTTGATAATACAAAAATTTGAGCAAGATAAATTTTGAGAAATTGAATTTTCATGTCCTATGGTACAGGCCCTAAAAGGTTGTGTGAAAACCTCTAAATATCAGGAAAAAGTCACCACATTTTTCATCAAGAACCAATATCAAGTCCCCAGCTGGAGAATGACATATGCAGTATTGGGAAACTGAATACAAAATCAGATTTTCTTGAGCCTCACACATGTGGAATGGCAGGATTGATTGGTCAAAAAAACTCTTCCAACAATGCTTCTCTGACCATTTCTGCACCACATTTCCAGCACTGTCCAACTATTGCTCCAATCTTAACAAAATGCTGCATACAGAACATCTGGTGTGAGGTCAGTGAGACAAAGACACTGGATCAAATAGTTAACAATTATGAACAATCTGAAGCACCACATGTTTTTCAAGCCCCTGTGAGGCCAAGATGGTTCTGTAAAGGGCTACAAACTCGCAGGCAGGTTTCACCTCAGCTATTCAAGGACCGGTCTATTCAAGTTGATCTGGTAGATATGGCTGGCCATTGTTGAGTTGCATCATCGCGCCATCCAGATTAGTACTCTTCTTGATTCCGCGTCGAACTCGCGGTGACTCTGGGCAAGCTTGCCCTCAAATATATAGCTGATGTGCAGGGATAACATTATGGCTGAGCCCCGGTGAGACTGCCTTGCCTTATGTGACAAATATGAAAAGACGCTTCAAATCATGCAAGCGCAGCCCTGTCCGTTTTGAGGAAATCGGCGCGTCACAAGCGCCACCACAGTAAGATACTCACGGAGCTTGCACACAGCAGAACACCTTTCTCAACGACGCCTATCCCCTCTGCCGCCTGACGCGTCTCGCCATATGAATCGCGGCTATCCTGTGCACTGTTAATGCGACGCCGACGACTCATGAGCAATATTCCGGGCAGTCGTAGTCGGATCAACGCAATTTCCAGAATCGGGAACAGGGTATGTAGGCATTCTTTGTTTTCTTACCGAGTCGAGTGACTACAAGCCTACAGGCAATAGCAACCAGCCTGACCTACCATGCATATATCAATGCACTCAGCCATGTAATGATGTATCCATCAAACCTTTTATTCCTGTGCGCGTTTTGGTGACATCAATTCTATTGCCTCTAGCGAGCACTTAAAAGCCAGCTTCTAGTGGCCAAACATGGGAATTCCTTGTCTGCCCCCCACCCCGTTTTTAACTTATATTCTAGCCCAGTTGTCCTTCCAAATTTATATCTAGAAGTTATTTATATCACATTCTGGCCTGTTCGCATCCTAGGCACGCACTTTTCTAAAAGCCAGATTCTGTCTGGCGGTCGACTTATCAGAGATGAAGTCTCTCCCAGTCCTATGGACTTCCATCTGGGCACTTTGCCAGTTAATCCAGCCAATCGTCTTGGTCAACGGTCCCACTCACAGCCTGAAAAGGAATTTCGAGGATGTTGGCGAGCCGCTTGAGATGGCGGCAGAGAATGAAAGAGTATTTCATGAATGCGAACGATTGAAGTTGGGCTCCGATGAACAACCTGGCTACAGATCTGAACCTCATGCAAGCGCTTCTGATGATCAAAAGTTCAATGGTTAGTGAAAGAACAACTGACAGTATTTTGCATGTCTATCTTAAGACTGAGGTGATTGACTCATTGTATTGGCCGTCTTCTCTCATCACCACATTTGCTCAAGATTTTCCGTATGGCAAACCTCCCACCGCACCAGGTGGAGTTGAAAATGGGCACAATGCACCCATTGGACTGCCAGCAGTCACCACCCCAACACCTCACATAGCAAGCTACATGTTTGAAATTCCAGCAGACTATCCCTATGTAGGCCTTGGTCCTATTCCTGATTCGTTCAATGTCGACAAAATTCCATTCTTTGCGCCAAAATATGTAGACTTCGGCAATCTTTCTCGCCTCACTGAATGGTTACCAGAGTTTCAAAAGACCAAGGCAAAAGCGAATTCCAATTCTGAGGAACAGCTTAAGTACCTTCCTGTGGTTATGCTACCTTTTGTTGGCAGATCAGTTGGCCACGACCCGGTGAATAGCCTTCGTGTAGTAAATCAGGAAAATTTTTACGAAAGCGACAGAAAGATTAGACATTTGGTTGAAACTTTGCGAAATTGGCTTTTTTCACATCATTATCGTTTGTCAAAACGGTTGGGTATATCAGACTATGCACGAGTACAAGACCGAAACTCTATGCATGAGTGGTTCAGACAAGGCCTTTTCAAACCATTACATAGTCTTCCAGCCACCGGAAATGTGGACCGTGCTGCCCGTAAAAAAGGCCTCGGATTATTCCAACGATGGGTGATATGGTACCTTTACTCTGAGGATCTGGAACGAACCGCATCTATCACCGCAGCTGCACTGAATGGACTGTGGCGGAAGGATGTCGCTCAATACCAATGGCAAATGATCATGGAGGAGAATGATTGTTTTTGGACCTTTGTCTCAACTCATGTACCGGAGCTTGACCAGGAGGGGAAAGGAGTCATATTTCCACCATTCAAGCCAAAGAAGCATGCAAACCAGTTGCCTCATCTTGGAATGATGGACATGAAAGATCTTCCCCTTCGCGATGCGTTGCAATTCACCAATTTGATCATCAAGTCTCCAGCCCCACAAGAAGAAATATTAAATATTGAGAAGGCTATAGTCAATAAAATCAAAAACATTTATGGCGCAGTGGAAGAAGTGAACAAAGAAGGCAGCACACCTTCAATCCCCCCAACAAGATTTTTTGAAATGCGCGCCATCTTGGAGCCTGCAGTAGAAAGTGGCACCAATAAACTAGGGTTTACAATAAGGCTCATTGATGAAAAAGCTGAAAAGATCCCCTTAGAGACAAGTGAAGAAAGGTTGAAAGAAATGCTAGAATCTCTCAGATGGTGGCATGAAAATTTGCAGTTGGGATTAAAACAATCAGGAATTCCATTAATTCCAAACTCTCACCAACTTTTCCTAGAGTGGCTAGAAACCATTTTATATGGGGAAGATAATAGTTTACCTGTGTTTGGCTTCATTGATCTGAACAATGGAATGATAATATCTCAGGGTCCACCAGCATTTGGCATCATACAAAGATTTGTGATACATCGTTTGGCTACTGATCCATCAGTCAAGATCATTTTGGAAGATGGCCCGAGCGCGGCTGGGGTTCTAACATCATCTGCAACTGATGAAATGGCTGTTTTATCTCATTGGTATCGTTTACAATTTGGAAAATTTTGGCGTGCTCATCTCCAGGACAAGGTCAAACTCATGGAGATTTATAATAAGGGTTTAGCCAGTAGAAATTTCAAGTTCCACTCATCAGTCTGATCTTCTTCTTCAAAACTTACAAATACTCAAAGGTCTTAGACTCTTACATCCACATTGTGAAATCCCAAAGATAGAACCATCAATTTTGGAGATTGAATTGCTCTTTATCAACAACATCCTACCCCTGAAATGTCATTGCAATCAATTTAGCCTTCTGAATTAATCAGAAGGGAATCATAACTGATGGGGTCCAGAAAATCCCACTGGATTCTCTAAAACCCTAGATTCTATTCACAATCATCTTTTACACATTGCAATTCAATAGCCTGCTAACATTGAGAGCCTCCTTTTTTGCCTCTTTATTCCTCACTTTAATAGAGAAGCTGGGTAGTCTAACATCCTATTTCTATTTCTCTTCTACTATTTGATTGATATCATATTGATTTTGGAACAAAAGAAACAAAAATCCAATTTACAATGTCTCAATATATGGGTTTTGCACACAGAAATTGAATCTAGTAGTGACACACTATGCATAGCGAATCTGTGATTGAAGAATCCAGAATAAGTAGTATGAGAGAATATATAATGGTTGCTGGTAACTGCCTGGCCCAAAGTTAGGTGTCTTAATCTCATGATTTTCTAGATTGATTGCGGGAAAGATGGAACATGTGAAGCTCTTCCTGGGGTTGTGTGACACAACCCCAGGAAACACAAGTTGTGTGACGGGGGGGCTGTAAATCCTTAAACAGGATGGGAAGATCACACCCTCTTCCCCTTACCATCTCAAAGGGATTGCTTGAGGAACCAAGAAAAGTTTCAAATTTGACCATATAGATGGAAAGATTCACATCCCACAGACAAATTCCCATTTTGCCAGTAATTCAAATTGTTCAATGCTGTGTTGCATGCACGGCACCAGAGGCAATAGTCACAGTTTATTGACATGACATTGTATTTGACCATTGGACCAACGGTGGGCCGCTACCCTAACCGTAGTGGTTAGTGTAGCGTAACACAGCGGAATTGCTGTTAGCGCTAAGTGTAGTGTAGCGGAATTCCGCCACGACACCGCTAACGCTACGCGTGTGGGCCGCAAGAAAGGGCCCACTACGCTGCGCTACAGCGGTTTTTAGCGGTTTTTGGCCGCTTTTTCCGCTAAAAGCGCTGTAGCGCAGCGTAGCGTAGTGAAAAACTGCTATAAAACGCTAACACTACCCTTTTTTGATGAAAAAAAGCACCGCTACGCTACGCTTTTTGGGCCAAAAGCGTAGCGGCCCACCACTGATTGGACTTATCACTTTTTGCCTTTCCTCCAAATTCGATGAAGTGATTTCTGTTCTTTCAATTTCAGGCAATAGTTATGGTATTCAAAGTTGAAATGCATGAAATCATAGAGTGCATAAGATTATAATGCATACTTTTTTTTGGTGGGAGTTTCCCACTTGATGATCGAAACTCCTGCCAAAAAAAAATATACATTATGATCTTATGCACTCTATGATTTCATGCATTTCAACTTTGAATACCATAAGTGCAACCTTTTAACTTTCTGTTGTCTTCACTTTTTTGAAGTACGTAGTTGGGAATAATCATTCAAGGTGAGACTAGGTGATGACAAAGCACAAAGTTAAGTACAAGGTCAGGGATCGTGCGCCTGATGGAACTTTTTGTTTTTGTACATAAGCAATATATTATTGACCACCAATTGTAGATCAAAGCGGAAGGAAGGGAAGCAAAAGTGAAAAACTGAAGGGGTATGGGTTTTTAGGAGATACAAATCACAGAGGTTTTTTGACTCCAAAGAAGTAATTACACCACTCGGCCCAGAAGGCGTCTCTGGGGAAAAGTTTCCATCGAGACGCTAGGGGATCGTATGTACACCCACGGACCTCGAGATCGGACCTTTCGTGAGAGGTTGCCCAGCCCAATTGACCACGAAAGAATTCGGTGAGTTCGTCGGGTTTGATGAACTTGTTGTAAGTGTGTGTACCTGGGGGCACGATGCCGACGATCGGTAGATTGGATTCGGCTAGCGTTATTGTCAGTAATTTTGAGAGTGGCGTGCGTGAGATGGTCGAAAGAATAATCTGTCCACCCGGCTAGAGAGTCATCCAAAGCATGCTAAACAAAACAAACATAATATCTGGGATTCAATAAGAGGAATGGAACATACCTTCGTGAGTTCGGCCAGAGCAGTGAGGAAACCGGCAGGATTTTCGACGTGTTCGATCACCTCCATAGCACAAACGATATCGTACTGAGCACGATGATTTAAGTTATCCGGTTGGAGTAAGGATTCGACGGAGCAGTGACGGTAGAGCAGGTTCGGATTCGGGCTGGAGAGAAGGTCATTTAGGAGGGGATCGGATTGGGCATGTAGACGGGCGGCCTTGATGCTATCCTCTGCGGCGTCGATCGCTAGCACTTGAGCGCCGAGTCTCGCGAGTACTTCTGAGAAGATTCCGCCCCCACATCCGACATCCAGTACCCGTTTGCCCGCCAAGAAATCGTACGAATCCGCATCTGACTGACGTTCGTCCAATCCACTCCCAGCTCCCGATCCGGACTCGGGTCGCGAAAGGTCATAGAGTAGGCGCTCTTTGATGAATTGTACGCGGACCGGATTCATCCTGTGCAATAATCCAAAGGCCCCATGTTCATTCCACCATGTCGAAGCTAACTTATTGAAATGTTCAATCTCCGATTTCGAGACTGTGAACTGTCCGCCCTCCGGTTCTTGTGTGGATGATCGACTCGTCTGAGATTCACTGTTAGTGGCCGTGGCCAGATAGCGTAATTCCTGAGACGATTTCTTGAATCTTGAGGCGAGACCTTTTGAGGGTGCTAGGAGGAGCCTCGAGCCGGACGGGATCTTGTTAAGGTTGAGACGATACATGGTGACCGACACGGTATTCCAACCAATCGATGCAACCTAATGGGGAGAGGAAGAAGTGTCCCACTTCGCCGATCGAGAACAGCACTGCAAGCGAATAGACTTTTTAGTTGCACCACCTCGGGGGCTGACACGGGAGGGGGCGGGGGCGGGCTATCGAAACATGCTGACACACCCCGAACTCAGCAGACATTAGTCCAAAAAAAAAAACACTATGACAAAAAACTTCTGGAGTGGCATCTTCCATAAGTATGAGGGCAAGGCAACGCCAGTCAGCTTGGGAGCACCAATTCACACCTGGGATCGGCAGAAAAAAATAATGTGCCTCGGAAGCCAGTAGGTGAACTGACCGGAGGTTTGACTGGAGGACTTCCCGTCATTTTCTGTAGGCTCTACAAAATCAGATTTGAACCCACTGAAGACAGAGTTACAGGGAAATCAAATTCAAGGGCCTATAAATCTGGTTTTGTAGGGGTTAAAGAACCCACGGGAAGTCCTCCACTGAGAATGTTTTTTATCAGATGTCATGCTTGATCAAATTTGTACCATTTTTCTTGTTGCTCCTCTGGATCAACCTAGAGTGTAAATGTAGGAGCAAGAAACGTACTTTTGTTGCAAAACACAATTTACATCATTCCTTTGATCCTCATAATATTCAAAACACAGATCCTGCAGTTGACAATGAAGGATCAACAGTAGGTATTCAATCTCCCAGTCAAAGTGCCCAAGAACCTAGACTCAGAATCACAGGATGAACATTATAATTGGTTCAGGACTGAAGTAGTCTTGAATTAAGTCTCAAATGGATGTGATCAAATCTCTGAAGCAATGTGCCAGAATGTGTCTTGCCCCAGATGCAATGGGTGGGCTATCAGTGTGAGTATGAGAAATTCTGAGAATCAATGCAAAACCCGTTGGAGTATAACTGAATACCCAATCATCTCAGCTTTTATTTCATATCCAATTGTAGGTTCATAATTAAACTCTCCTAGTCCTAGTGCAGCATTTCAGAATCTCAACCAGCAATTAAAATTGCTACCAAGGACCTTCAAGGCTACAATTGAAGGCATGTTTCTGGGATCAGAAAAGCACCTGAGCAACCTGTGATAGATACTGAACATCATTGCTCAGCCTTCAAAGTAGTTGAATTTAGGCTAAAATATGACTTCCAGCGTAAGTTTTCAGCAAGGTTGGCATACATAAACCAATTTATATGGATCCTGTTAATCCACATTTCAAGTAATGCACTCATCATACATTTGACACCATCATCTTATTTTTCTTGGGGGGAAGTGAATTTCTTCAGAAGTGTCACGCGACAGCAAGTGTCCAATCATGTTCAAGTAATCAAAGGATTTCTCAAGCATGCTGGTTCTGAGTCCCTTGGGTGAAAGACTTATGAGGTGAAATAGTACTTGTTATTGGAGAATAGATCCACATGCATATATGCGAAATACAAACGAGGTGGCGGTGCTAGATGAGAGAAAGCGCCATGAACAACTGCACGGAAAATAACTCGGCTCGTGTGGGCTCCATGGCTTGATTTCCTTATGGATTTATCAGTGATAACGCAAGCAAAAGAAGAAGAAAATGATGAGCAACACATATTGTCATCAATCATAACATGAATGTTGAGACTGACCTTCTCAAGTGACTTTGGAAAACCCCGGGCTGTTTCTTCAATGGTATATTCGTGGTCAAGAGAATAGCAATCGTATTGATCAAATGATGTGTCGAATGAAGAATTAAGTATTGTCGCACGAAAGACGGGCGTAGATCGTCGGGAGGGGGGGGGGGGTTGTATATTTCTTTTTGATGATCTTGATGGGATGGTACAGAGAGATCGACATTGATGGTGCTTGTAAAAAAAGGGAATATTATCCGATGTAGATGGAGTGTTGAAGAGCAGGGTGATACTGAGTAGCTAAACTTGAATTTCCATGACGATTTTTCTGTTGATTTACAAGGTCAATTGAGAGAGCGAATCTTCGATTGGGATTGATTTTTCATCGATGCTACTTGAATCGCTGTTTTCTTCTTCTTCTTCATCTGATTCGTAATCTTCAAAGTCAAGCTAGACATGTAGAATTTCTCAGTGACTTTTTTTTTTTTTTTTGTGAAGAGACAAATCGGATATGAAGAAAGAGGATGAGGAGTAGACTGACCATATCATAAACCACTCGGACGATTAGACTGCAACTGGGACAGGTAGCGATTTCGACACCTTTAGCCAGTTGTGATTTGCTGATCTCGAAGCGGTCTCCACAGGGACATGGTGTATGGTAGACTTTCGCTTTCTCGTCCCAGGTGAAGTCTTCGATTTCAATCTCGTCATCTGAGAAAAGAACGGCATGTCAACGAGCTGAAGTAGAAATCATATGATTGGAGAGGTTGGGCAATCCTCTTATCCGTTTGTGGAGTTTGAGTGGCAAGATGCTTACAGTATGAGACCATGATTCACTGTTGGGCTTTCCTGTTGTCTATCGATTGTGCTGGTTGTTGAGTGTCAAGTTTAGACCTTTAGACCTAACTACTTTACACTAAGGAAGTGCAGTAAGAAATGCATGCGAATTCACTCCTGTAGTGCAGAATCGGTGGTTTGGGATACAATCCCGCTCCCAATCCCGATCCCGCAATCCCGCAACCTCCCACCCCTGAAAAAAAATTCAGAGTACAGCCCTCGAACCAGGGAGGCTCACACCGGGAGGACTCCAAAGCTAAACACTCAGTAAGACTTACCGACCTCACTAACTTCAATATGTATCTACATGCTTGGTGTAATAACTCATACCTTGTTCTGACACGCGCCTGACCCCCGCCCAGCATCCACTTTTTGTCCGCCCCGAACACGACTCCTTGGTAGACTCTTCAAAATTTGTCCATCCATCAGCCATGCAGCCATATGATCAATCCTACAACAACTCCGGGCTCCATCAGTCCGAATACAATACTCTTATTGATCTTGGAAGCTCTGGATATCAAAGTTTATCGAACTCTTACATGGATCAAACTTACTACAGCGATATCCAAATATCAACCCAGCAAGACGGAATCAACCATGATCACGGTGTGAATTCAATGTTAAGCAACCCAAACACCGCCTGGAGCTCTCAGCACGGACCTCGATTGGCATGCTCTGGAATCTCTGGCCATCCGTCTCAACAGTTCATAAGCCAACAAATGGCCACCTCAACTCCACATAAACAAGCACCGATGTATAATGGCCATTCACCTGTGCCATCCCCTCTCATTGACCAGATCTCGGTAAATCAAACTACACCCATCCCACCACCACCACCGGGCAACTCTTCTGTTTTGAATTCTCAGCATCCTGCCGCTACTCCGACCACGGCTGTGATCCCCACCACCCAACCGAAAAAACAAAAGCGGAAAAGAAAGTCTGCAGCCACCACTAGTACTGATGCACCAGTCTCAACAGTGGTTCAATCGGCTGAATCACACACCAGTAATACTTCGGCTGTCAACTCAAACACAGATCCTACTTTGGCATCTCCAGAAACCCCCACTGGCACCCCAAAACCTCGTAAAAAAGATACCAAGCTCTCTGATGAAGTCATGGATAGCTTCAAAGATCACACCCTACATCAGCTTCGAAAACTCCAGAAGACGCACGTGAAATATACTCGATTGAATGAAGAAATCAAGATAGCTGCTCAAGATGTATACTTTGAATATCAACGAAAACTCCATTTGCTATCGCTCAAGCATCAGCGACCTTTCAAGGGTCTCGCAAAGTATCTCGGACAACGTCGAACCCGGCAGAAGAAAAGTGCGTGGCACAAATTTCAATCGTCTGGACAGACAGCACAAAAGGAATACCACCAAAGTAGGTAGCCATCTGTGCCTGATTTTTTCTGAAATGTCACGCTGATCACTAATGTTTACTTTCATCCAGCTGAGAACAATATCGGTCAGCGAAACAAGGAAGTCGCAAAGAGCTATAATCAGCTCAATGCAGCAGATCGAGACCTCCTGAACAACAACAGCGAAGACGAATGGGTTGATGCCGACCTCAGCGATGATCCAAACATTAATGAACGAGATCAGTTTGATGTCAGACACCAGTCCAACAAAAAGCTTCTTGCAAATGTAGACACGTGGGCCAGGGGAGTACAGCTCAAGGTATTTAGAATTTCTCAGCCTAGTCCCTTCTTCAATTGCTGACACATTCTCATCTGTCTATCAGCTGAAGGAGATCAGTGATGCTCTTGGTCTTGAAGGTTTCCTAATCATTGCGGATCAAGACCATCGCCAACCGTATTTTTTTCAAGGGGGAAGTTTGCTTGGCGATGTTTTTCTGCGAGGGCTTCTGGATGAAGGCGATCCAATATCAAGATTTGCAGTCTGGACTGCTGGAACCAAGAGCCGAAAAAAAGTGACTAAACAGATTGCTGGTCCTGTTGTTAGTACTGTTTGTAAGCAATCCAAGGCAAACAATGCCTCGAACAACAACTCCAATCCCAAACACGACAGCAACTCTGGAAACTTGGGATCTGGGAACAACAACCAACCTCCTGAAGAGCGAGATAATGGTTGTGCTGAAAATCAAGATGCGTGTGAGGGTGAGCTTGAATACTATCTTTTCTCATGCAAGTCAATCAAGTATTAATATTTTTTCCCTCTCTTTGCAAATTTCCTCAGGTGATCTAGCTAAAAATCATCATTATATTTCTAACAAACTAGGGGAGATGTACAGTGAGTTGATCTATCAACACAAGCTTTTATTCAAGACAATGTACACTAATCAGATTAATTTATGTCTAAACACAGATCAAGCCCTTGCTGTACCTGGCTCAAAATATAAATGGCCAGGTACCAACACCCAAATTAAGCTCAAGAAAAAGGGTCTGATGCTGTCAATATCCAACAATCCAACCGAGTTAAGCATGGTGCATTTTTCGCAACCAGTCAAAAAACTCCTACTTCCTGCAACACGGGTTTTATTACGTGGCCTCAAGAACAATTGGATCTCGTTAGTTCCTTATGTTGAAATTGAAGAAAACAATCTGATGGACATTGACAATGCAGAGGAAAACAGCAACCAGGTTAATAGCTCAAATGAAAACAACAACACTGACTAAAATTGAGACAGAATTCTGTTTTCATCTGTCACAGTTGCTTTTTCAATTCTTTCATTCTTGTTTATTTTCTTCTTTTGCATAAATGTGTGTTGGATAGAGAAATACCAATGGTTTACATCTGGAATAAAAAACACACTGATTGAGTGAGACATAAACTCCTTTCTTACAATCACCACAATATTTATCATATCTTGAGAGAAAACCCATTCTTTTGAAATGAAAAATTGGACAGCATGGAATAGTGGGCTGAGTGAGTGGATTCTTCAATGGAAGAAAATCCATGGGAATTAATATATATTGCTTTCCTGCATTTGGATTTCTTTGGATTTATGTGACTTGCTCTTTTTGGATTTTGTTGAACAGCAAATAGTAATAAAAATTGAAAGCTTGATTCATCAATTTCTGGTTCAATATTTTATTTGTACAACACAAAAACTTCAAATAATAAATTAGGGGTAGCTACATTAATGATCTGAAATCAATCTCCATTGAATGGATTATTATTGTGTGTTTATTTGGTTAGGTGCATTTGAATTCCCAGCAAACATTTGCTGGACAGTGGACACTGGAAAGCTGTGTGTTGGTTGGGATTTATTGGATGTAATTTCATGAATCCAAGTTATTCAATGTTATTAGATGGCTCAATGATATTTCAGATGGCTCATGAATTCTCATGTATTGAACAACTTGGACTCATGATTCATCCAATTAGCTTCAATCAATCTCTTATCGTGTGTTTATTTGGTGAGGTACATTTGAATGCCCAGCGCACAGTCACTGGACAGTGGACACTGGAAAGCTGTGTGTTGGTTGGGATTTATTGAATGTGATTAGATGAATCCAATTTATTCAATATTATTAGATGGATCAATTATATTTCAGATGGCTCATGAATTAATATTGTCGAAATTCTGAACTCAGCGCGCAAGAGGTTGAGGGCCAAAAAGAAAGGTTTCTTTTTTGGGAGAGGCTTGACTTGAGGAAAAAGAATGTGAGAACCAATAGTTTTTTATTTGTAAGTATCTAGCCAGGTTAAAGAGACTAAATAAAAGTGCACAAACAAAATGTGATTAAGATTAAAATGAATAAAGAGTGATTTTGAATAAAAACTGAGAGGGAGAAACATATGAGTTCATGGAATTAATAAGTGGCTCCACCACAAATGTATGAGAGTTTTTAACTCTAAACAATCAGATTTTATGAATAAACCAAATTAGAAAAAGGAAGAAGCTTTAGAGAGACATGAGTTGTGGACAAGATCTAGAAGTTTCATTGACTTCAGAAGTGAATTCAGGCAACAAAAAAACAAGCTACTTAAAGAATATAAACCAGTCTGATTTTAATGAATATTCAAGAAATAATAAAAGAAGAGAGGAGGCAGAGTGAAGGGATTTTAGGGGAGAGTAGACAGAAGACAGAGAAAATTCAACAAATATTGCTCATGAAACGATATTGAACAACTTGGAATCATCCAATTAGCTTCAATCTCAACCAACACAGTCACTGGGATAACTGCCTGCTGGATTTAAGCACAACCATATGTTGGTGGGGTTTTATTGAAGCTAGTTGGATGATTCCAAGTTGTTGAATATTGTTTCATTTCAATAAAACCCAACCAACACACAGTTTCTGGGATAACTGTCTGCTGTGAATTCCCACATTTTAACACAATTAGTGGGGGTTTATTGAAGTTAGTTCCATGATTTCAAGTGGTTGAATATTGCTTCATGAGCGTTTTGCAACAATATTCAACAACTTGGAATCATCTAACTAGTTTAAATAAACCCCAACCAACACACAGTCACTGGAATGGTTGTCTGCTGGGAAATAGTATCAAAAATGATTAAATAGTGGCAAAAAAGTGTTTTCTGTTGAATCTGTTTATCTACATGGCCAGATATAATTTGGTTGACTTGATTCCCTCACATTTGGAGGTTCAGATAATGTAAGAAATTCATGCTATTTAATTATTATCCATGGGGTATGATTGATACACAAAATATCATGAATCAACCAATTGAACATCAGGATAATTTTGACTCTGCTTTTCCATGAATTTTTTGGGGTATATATAAACAAGAAGATCAGATGGTTGAAAGTGGAAGGTAATTGTGTGAGATGGCTTTGGTTCTCAAACTAATGATTGGTAATCAAAAAAAAATAGTTTTCATAAACATATTCCAATAAATAAATCAAAGTGTTGTATCTGGCTGGGTAAGTGTGTTATCTACCTGGCCAGTTACAGATTAATTTTATGCCTGTGTTGATATGGCCACGCCCACATGTTCCTTTGGATATCATCAAGCTCATTCTATAATTGCAAGTGATGTAATACTTATTCAGAAGGTCAAAAAAGTTTATCCACCACTTGGAATTATGTAATTCAATTAGCTCGATCATATCACAACAAGTGTGGGGTAAGTGTAATCACTGTGTACTATCACTGCCACTAAATACATTCCCCGTCTGATACCTAATGAAACAAAGGGGTGGTGATGGATACCTGCTCATCAAGATTCACAACTGCACCTTTGGGGAGTTGATTTGAAATTTTTGTATCTAAAAATCAATTGATCAATTGGGCCTCTCAATTGGCAGAATGTTTAAAATAAGCATACATCCTGACATACCATATGGGCTAACATACCACTGACACTGATTCCAGTCAAAACTCCATACAAATTCCTTAAGTACAGTTGGTGAATATGAACTCTGAGGTGCACAAATAAGTTACCCTCTACTCTGACGTGCACAAATCAGTTACCCTCAATTATAATTCTGATTTTGGGCAGGTTGTGCACATCCTGCTTCTTTTCAATGAAACATGATGGATCCACTCAACTAACTGGGAGATGGTTTCAATGGAGTAACAGACATATTATTATCAAAAATGCAATACCCTGAAATTTTTGAAATCTAACCAAATCTCAACTTAGTACAATGGTCTTTCAAGCATATTATTTCTAATGTCAGATTACAAGTATACACCTTGTAAATAAGTATTACATTGAGAACTGTGAAAATGACCATTCTGATTTGGTTACTGTACCACTGCATCATGTATCAGGATCCATTTATTTTTTATCATCTCAATTCTAGACTATCAAAAAAATACTCTAGTCTTATATGGTTCATCCTCCTAGAATAAGCTGCTCACAAGAAACATGAGCCTGGATCAAAACCATCTACAATCCCTCTTTTATCTAAATCTGTGATTTGATGGCTGCCAGTGCAGGGAAAAAATTATTGAGAAAATGACCATTCATTATCTGTCTATAGTGGTTGCTATGTCAAGTTTCACATGGGATCTCTCAAGTGTGCAAAGACCAATAGATTTTATCATGAATGGTGTGATTCATTCTCAGCCTTTCTTGGGCTTGGCAATCTTTGGTGTTACATATCTAGAAAATTGGCACCCATATTCAATTTGTGTCCCTTGCTCCCGGGTGGTTCAGTCAAGAATTTTTACTCAAAACCCGCACAACAAGACTTTGTAGCCCCTCACAACCAGAAGGAAGGCCTGGCACCAGCTCAGTTGCTTCGCTCCAGCTCATCGGTCACCTGCCCATTCTCTCATTTTTATCAAACACATCGGTCTCCTCACACTGAAGGCCCATTTTTGTCTCCTGTGCTCATCTCTCAGTTTACAAACAGCTCATGCTTTGATTAGCTCTCCACAGGTTACACAGGTTATTTCGCGCGTGGATTATCCCAGAGACGATTCACAAGTCATCCAAACGATCCACCAGCAAGTCCTTTCATCAGCTTCCTCCTAGCTGAACCAGTCCTGTCATCAGCTTCTCCTAGCCGAACTCATACAATGTCGACAAATGATAGTGCATTTGGCTCATCCCAGAAAGCGATGGAGTGTCACCCGACTGTTTCAATCATCCCAGCGAGGTCTCCTGGCGCCTGGCAATCATCTCCGAAAGGTTCTAGCTTCAGACAAACGACATGGCCGGCCGATAACTTTCAATCATCGCTGCCAGGTTCTAACTTGAATAAAACAACCTGGACGACCAATACACCGTCTGGCTTGTCCCATAAATCGCTGGAGGGTCCTCTTTTCGCCCCAATCATCCCAGCGAGGTATCCTGGTGCCTGGCAATCATCCCCGAAAGGTTCAAGCTTCAGACAAACACGATGGCCGACCAATAACTTCCAATTGTCCCTGCAAGGTTCTAACTTAAATAAAGCAACCTGGACGACCAATACACCATCTGGCTTGTCCCAGAAATCACTGGAGGGTCCTCATGTTGCTTCAATCATCCCAGCGAGGTCTTCTCACACCTGGAAATCATTCCCCTATATTTCTAACTCAACCAAATCAATTTTACCGACTATTAGGCCATTTGGCTCATCCCAGCAAGCAATGGGGGGTCATAATTCAGCTCCAATCATCCCAGCGAGGCCCCATGACCACTTCCGATCATTCCCACAAGGTTCTAACTTGAAAAAAACAATCTGGCCAACCAATAGCCCTTTTGGCTTGTCCCAGGAAGCAATGGTGGGTCACCAGCTCTCTGACAATCATCGCTGCAAGCTCCTGACCCTTTTTCTTAATCCCAAAAATGTTCCTACTTTACAAAGACAATGTTGCCGGTGGATAGGTCGTACTTTGGATCGTTACCTAGCTTTCCAAGTCATCATAATCCACAAATCCATGGCTCATTGGCAACTCAATTACCTCTCCAGAATGCCTTGGTAAGCCGGTCCAAGTCTTTCCTAGAATCATCATTGAGTTTTTGGGTGACATTTAACTGAAAATTTCCAAAAAATACCATCCATCCAGGCAATCAATCCTCAGCTTTCTGAAGGCGGAATGGCTGGTACCAGTCTCAACGAACGACTCCTCTCGAGCTTTGTATCAACCGGTTCAGCATTTGTTACGCCAAATTTTGAAGGCAGCTGTGGTGCTTCTACTAGGTAAGCCTGCCCGATTACCTGGACATCATTGTACTTTATTCTCTTTTCCTTTTCCTCTGAGGCACGAGCATCATTCGCACCTCTCCAACTTTCTCCTTTTCATCTGAGGAACGAGCATAAATTGCACCTCTCCAACTTTCTCCTTTTCATCTGAGGCACGAGCATCATTCGCACCTCTCCAACTTTCTCCTTTTCATCTGAGGAACAAGCATAATTCGCACCTCTCCAACCTTCTCCTTTTCATCTGAGGCACGAGCATCATTCGCACCTCTCCAACTTTCAAAATAAATTTCTCCTCTCGTTTCTTCTAAAATTGTGTCATAGGCAGGAGGATAATTTCCCCCATGTCCTTTTGATCTCAAACTATTTCTACATTTTAATAATGTTGATAAAGATTACACTGACTCACTTCATTTTATGCTTGTCACCCACCTGACAGGAGAAAACGGTTCCGACCTGATGAAGACATCAAACGATGGAATCGACTTCGCCACAAAGCCAGCATGCCATTCTGTGCTACCCACCCGATTCCTCAGGCCAAACTAGTCCATTCTCCTTCATCTCAAGACCCTACGCCCCTTTCTAGTCCATCCGGCCCAAAAAAAGATTTCTACTACTTCGTTCCTCCGAGCCGTCAACATGACCCCGAACCTAATGTGATGCACACCTCCCAAGCAACTCTCACATCTGCCTACAAATGTCTAGACCATGGAACCGTCATAATTGCCCCCCGAAACAAGGAAGCTTTCTGCAAGGCTAAATTCCTACCCTTCGAGTCAATGCCATCAGATGAGTTACTTGGTTGGCAAAAGCTAGTTTGCTTTTTTCTCTCCCGAACTAATTACATTGCACCAGTTAAAAATAATGGCCCTCACATGGGTGGAACCATGTGGGCTGACGGATGGCGGAAGTGCTCGAAGGCATGCGAGGCGTTCGGCCGTTATTGCTCTGTTACTCGATTGGTTGCCATGATGCGAAAATCAAACTACGTTGCTGAGGATGAAGCTGTTGCAGTTAGAGAAGCCAACGACTGGATCTCTATTCACCTTCAAGAACTGGCTCCTGGGGTCTTTGAAGATTACCGAGCAACTCTTATCAACAACAATTTACCCTCGATGGCCCACATGGAATGGCCTCCCTCCTCGTACCACGCTCTAGACTTCGCTTCTTTCCTCACGTTTACAATGTACGATTTTTTCAACGAGAGCCATTTCGATAGCGATGCGAATAATTGGACCCTTGTCTGCTGGATACCAATTTTTAATCCTCGAACCTCAGAAGAAGATGATCCCATCTTGGCAGACAATGGATTCGATATGATAGGGGGTCAATTCACATTTCGGGATTTTCAGGTGTACTTGGACTTAAATAAAGTACTTGGTGTGACCATGTGTGTGTTCCGGTCCAAAGATCACCATCATCAGACATTGGCTGGGTCTTCACCATCTGACAAGTATACTCGGATTGGGTTTTCCTGTCAAATGTCTGAAGCTATGACAAATGCTGTTGTAGCTTACATTAACGGTACAGCAACAGGTGACTGCATAGCTGGTCAAAAGAAACAAATAGAAAATGCAGAAAAAAGCATTGTGAATCAAGACCAAAAGAAGGCAGAGAAAAAGCGTGATGGGAAGAAGCCTACATGACTCGTGATTGTCTCAATTCTAAAGGCTTTCAGCTTAGTTTCACTTTTTATTCATTGGCTCTCTTTTACTCTTTTACCAAATCTGTTCTGAAATTCCTGTTTGCAAACATAATTCATGCTTCATTGAACCCTCTTATCCTCACACATAATTTTTTCTTTTCTTCAGAATTATTATTGCTTTCTCCTGGCATCTGCCAATAATAAGTGAAGACCCAAAGCTAGGATCCAAAAGAGCATAAAGTTTTTTGTCTTGTTTTCAAACAAATCATGTTCCAATTATCACGATTGAAAAGTATTGAGATACCTTAATCACTGAAATTCATGTGCTGTAAAAAATTGTGCCCAACTATTTGTCGGGGAATGCATGATTCATTCTGGTTTTATGAGTTGGGTAGGTGAGCTTGGGTGCACGCAAAGTCTGACTGCACACTTTCCTAAAATCAACCGTAACTTGTTTACCTTCAGCTCTATTTTCCTACCCTGCCCCCTTCCCCACCGTTGAAGAAGCCAGAATGCCCCCAAAATCCAAAGCCAAACCAACCGGTCTCTACAAATTCCATCGAGGATCCAGATTGCCAAAGCTTGAAACTAGATCCCAAAAGGCCCATCGGAAAAAATGTCAAGAGCGTACAGCAGCTGAAGTATCCAATAAATCAACGACTAGTTTTCCTGTTCCGGCATCCCAACCAATACCAGACCCGAGTCCTCCTAGTCCTGGCAATTATGATGATCCCAACGACCAAGTCGATACAATGCAAGATGACAACGTTTGGAACGATATACCAGACGAACTGAGACCAGAAGATGTTGAATCTCTCAAACAAATACGATCTCATCACCGAGCGCTTATTGAGCAGCAGAAACTGAGAAACTGGAATGACTTAATGGAATCGATGTTTCCTGCCTACCTTCATCTAAAAAAGAAAACTCAAAACTGGACGAACTCCGACTTTTTCAAAGACTTATCGAAGGATTTGTGCAAATGTCAATCACATCAAATGAAATCAAGGGAGGTTGACCTAATCGATCTGATAGGTTTGGATTTTCCTCTTTAATATAGTTATTCAATCTCTGTTGAGCTAACATAACATTGTGCCTTCTAGGTCAGAAGCGAGTCAAGATGCCTTTTTGCACCTGCATCCCAGACCCAATACACTTCCTGGCCCATGGGTATCTTCCAAGCACCCCTCTTTTTCCACAGACAGGATTTTCGCTTCGGCTATTAAACTTTTACGATTTACTATGGAACATATGTAACGCCAATCTCACCTCTTTTAGTGAAGTCCTACGACGTTGGAATGAATCAATGTCTGTCAGGCTGTGTATCAAAGAGACCAAGAAGGTACGGTTATTTATTATCATGTGAAATTATTTACTTACTGCTCTTCACAACAACACCCTGATGTTTTGTTGATGAATTTTTTAGCCTCGTGATCTCCGGAGATGTCTCTCAGGTTCAGTTGACGCTTATCGGCATCTGAAGAGATTAGAGCAGGATTTAATCCATACGGCAACCTCTCTTACTCCTCAAGACGTATTGGCCCAACGATCGTGTCCAGCATGTTTTGGAACCTCGGCTCCTGCTCTTGATGAATCACAACCAAAAGACACCAACCAAATTTTCATCTGCCTTGATGGGAATTTTCAACACCGGCATCACGAGAAGGCCTCAAAAAACCACTTGCCACTTCATACGCCACATCTATTCATCAGTCCTGAAGAAATCAAAGCAACCGATGATGAAATATTAACACATGAGCAAGCTCAGAAAAAGACTCAAAAAGCAGTATGTGCATCTGTTATCTGCAATTCTTCAAACACTCACCTGACATGAAGGGTTTATTATCAGAAAGACCGATGTAGTGAGCAGCATAAGGCTGCAGATGACCGCCGCAATGCAAGCACCTGGAAAGGATGTGACGACACCGGCTTGTTTGGATGCTGTTGCCGGCATGATTCTGTCATCTACTTCTGCAACATCTACAAATCCGGGGAGGGACGTGGACTCCCTATGTCAATAATCAAGCGACTTTTAGGCGAACTAAACCCAACGACCCAAATAGGTATCCTATATGATATTGGATGTACCCTTGGAAAATTTTTTCAATCACGGAAGCTGCTAACCGAACAACTCCCAAGGATGAAGTTTGCTACCGCGGTGTTTCACTCTTATGTTCACGACTGGCCCTGTCAGATTCAATTCAACCCGAGATACAACAAAGGATGGGGATTAACTGATGGCGAAGGTTTAGAACGGCTTTGGTCCTATCTCTCTCCCCTTGTTGGTCCTCAGCGATACGCAACACGGAATCATCGCCTTGGCGGGATAAATCACAGGAGTGTATTCCATAATTACCTTGGAATCGAAAAGCTTCGTATGTGTGGCTTTTCTCAATAAACATTTTATAATGTTGCTTTGATTTGACTCAACTTCGCTTCTCTCTTATTATGTAGTTTTGACTTTGAAGAGGAAGACTCAGCATGCATTCAGACGTCAAAAA